CATCCATAATTTTTCCGGCAAGCCCCCTCGAAGTCAGAGTTAGCCTATATGTGGAAGCAGCAGGGAATATTAAGGGAAACTCTCCTGGAGCGAAAAATAGGCGGACAGGCAGGGGTGATGATGTTTGTTTAATGCAGCCAGTGTGTGACGAGTGTGATCTTCATGCACATAATGAAGCTGCTTCATACTCTCTCTTTCCAGCCAGTATGTTCTTTTCTACCCGTATCTTGAAGCTTTGAATATTTCCAAATATAACATTGATATAAAGGCAAAAATTAGAATGCCCGCTATCCGCCATCTTGTATTCATGGAGGATCTTTTTTTAGATCATGTCTTGCTTCCTGAGACCAGTTGTTGCATGTTTTTGCCAACCATCCAGTTTTGCCAACCTTACAGCATGGCTTGCACAACCCAAACAGATGCTATATAGAGTGACCTTAATCGGCATATTCTGAAGCGAAGGGCCACAGAGCCAAGCTGCTGTATTTGATGACCTGATGGCCCTGATTACATTAGTTTGAATAAATCAACACCTCTGAAGGAAAAATGTACGGCTTTGATGTGTAAACTGGTAAACTGGAGATGTAAGTTATGAATGACATTGCTGATTCAAAAAGACGACACCTCGTACAGAGAAGCTTTTGTCATGCATGTTCAGAGGCCGTGCAGTGGCTCATATGAGACGACATTATTCAGCTGTGATATCTGACAGTGAATTCTATTTTTTTAGTCACACTGAAAAAGGCAAACATCAGCACTGCTGCACCCGCTCTACTACTTTCCTTCTTCCTTTTTTTATGGTTAAAACCCCTATTGAGGTTTTAAGTCCTTTGTTAAAAAAGCTGCTGGCAAACGGAGCGACAAAAAACCTCCTCAGCCGCTTAAAGAGAGGAAGAGACGGGAATCGAGCCGTGCCAAGCCTGAGCAAAGACAGAGACGCGCCATGACAAACATCTCATTTAAAATTCACTCATTGCTTCTGAAAATCCTCGTATGAATTTGTATGCAAATGCCTCTTTCTTGTCGCCAGTTTACGAGGCGCGGTACAGCAGAGAAGGGCTGAAATGATTGAGATAGAGGCTCTACCGGAGAGGAGAAAATTGAGCAGAAAAGGGAATAGTGCTGGGCAAATTGTGCTAATGCGAGGAGAGCTTTCCCCCCTGCACATTAAGACTGGAGTTGTTATGCTGTTATGTAAGATCAGACTGTATCCAGGCTGAAAGAGGAAACAGGAGAGTCGGGTAGGGGGGATGATGATGAAGATCAAAGTAGTGTTGAGAGAAGAAAGGATAAAAAAGGAGCAGGAAAGGAATTGTCCCTGTGTTTATGAGAATATGAACACATTAATGTCCAGTAGCCACCCAGACCCCCCTCTTCTATTCACTTGAAGGATTGAATATAAATGTGTATTAAACTGTAATAAATGAACATTTGAGGTTTCGGTGTTGTGGGAATTTCTGCAGCTGTCCACTCACTGTCTTCTGACCTCCTGTAATCTGAGACTAAAGGATTAGAACAGATTACATTTGCAGACTTCAAAGTAATTTACAGCATTACAAACAAACATTTGGCTCTCAACTCATCTACTCACGCAACTAAATCTATATTTTGTCATCACTTTAAATACTCTGGATCATGTAGTCATCATGTGTTACAATTATCAAAATGTTGGTGCCAAATATATAATATATATTCTTATATTTTGAAGGAAGATACATTTTGAACATAAATACAGCAGAAATAAAGTATATCCTGTGTAAATGTCTCCCGTCAGCTGTGTTGTTGTCAGAGCTGTGTTTACATCATGTTTACATGGACGAGACGGCCGGCTCCTCCACTTGTGTATAAAAGCTGTTTTAGTCAAGGACTAGAGAACAAGTAGAACATACTCACTGCTTATTTGGATGTCACATAAGTGTCTTTAGATCACAGTAATTCTTTGTCAATTTATGTGCAATATGAAGCTACGAGTTAGCAACCAAAAGTGAGCTAACATTAGCATGCTAAAACAACAATGCAGGACACAGGTGATTGCAGCTCGAGCAAAGGACAATTTTGTCTAATTGATAACTCCTTTGTGCAAACACAATTGGAGAGGAGGAGAGCAGAGGTGTTGCCAAACAGCAGTTTGTTCTGGTTTCATGCTGGTACACAAGGGCGACATCTACTGGATCAAAAAGTCGCACATTCTACCTTTAAAGGTTTATTTTTTGGGGGCTTTTTTATACCTTTACAGTAGAGACAAGTCAATGGATAGATAGTGACATGCTGGATAGGAGGCTAAGGTCGGATTTGAAAATGGACCTCTTGCGTCGAGGTCTACAGCCTCCCTACATGGGGCGCGTGCTCTAAACACAGACTCCAGACTTTTTCTAGAGTCAGCAGTGGGACTGTCATGACCACTGGAAAGTCGGGCGTGTTACCAGCGCTCAGTTGCACTTCAACGCGATTCAGGAGAGACATGTGGTGAACACAGGTTGAGTTAAACATGATGAACACAAGAGATAGTCATAAAACAGCTAACATGCAAAATAAATATTTGTCTACTTATCACACTTCAAATAATAATTTAACTAGCTGTGTGTGGCCATCAGTGAATACAAGTTTTTGCAGTGAGGCTCAGGGCCCAATCACACAAGGCAATCCGTACCGCGTACCTAAGCACGCTTCACCCCTAAAGTCCAGTTCGCTTGACCAGTGTGAGCGCTCCAATCGTACACTTCCTTGGCCCTGGCACACTTGGAAGAGGCGTGCTTCAGCCTGGTACAGTTCATGCATGAGCAAAAGAACGCGGTTACACAATGTGGACAGCTTTCATTATGCAGAAATCCCAGAGTGTCTGTCTGTATCTGACTTAAATGACTCAAAATAAGATACAAAGTCAGTAAGGTAGCTGTCATGTTCTCTGTGTTGTTCTCCGATGTGCGGACAGGGACTCGCCTTTATTAATTTTTTCTCTTTTTTTTTTTTTCTCGAGTCCACCTGTCTTTTCAACTAAGCACACTTCATAATTACGTTAAGCCTAGTATGTGTTGTATTATGATGTTATGTCGGGGCTCTTTTTGCATGTGCTTTCTGACGGTCTCTCTTTTTATTTGTTTGCACAGATTTGACCGGCGCCAAAGCCGCACAGTTTGTGAGCATAAGGCCAAGTGTTTTTAGGGAGTCCCACAGTTTAACAGGCTTTATTGCTAAATGCCAGATTAACTCCAGAAAAGTATTGCATCTCTACCTCTGAATATGTCTTTTTTTCATGGATAGAAGCAGAAATAATATTCCTTTTATCACAACACAGCCACCCACCACGGACACAAATAGCACCAACACCTCCTCTGAGTGAGATCAGGCACATTTTTTAAATCTAAGAATATTTATTTTTTCTTTAATGTAGCCTAATAAGGAAGAAGTCTCTTATGGACTTGGACTGGATCCTCTCATCTCTCTACATGGCTCTTCAGTTCTGGTCCATCTGCTCCGATTAAAAGACGATCTATTGAAGCTAAAGGCTAAAAGCAAGATAGACAAAAGTGTGGACATCAAGAAGAGTGATGAATAGAAGTTAAAATAAATAATGAAATGTTGTTGCTTGAAGCCTGTTATTGATTCTAGTTTATAGAACATTTGTCTTGATTTCTGGATATTGCTCTTGCCTCTCTCGACCGCACAGACACGATCACTCACACATTGTTGCTGTAGCGTCCGCTCTGCCTGCCTCTGAACGCTCGCTGGTGTCTTGGTGGTGGGTGGAGGTGTGATGTATGGCACCATCAGAGAGCCTGACTGAGTACCAGAGCTCCATCAGGCAGATGAGAGTCAGCGTGGTGCTGGAGTCTCAGCGGCCTCGGATCTCTTTGAGTTCTGTGTGTAAATAGAAAAAAACAGATGGCGGCTGCTGCCAAACAAGTTTCTCTTCCTCGGGCTCTCATGAAGACAAACTGAAACACGGGAGGGAGATGTCAGGCTTCTTTTTGCCAGTTTGAAACTAACTTTGGCCTTTCAAAAAACCACTGAAAGCACACGTTTAATAATTCAGGTCGAGTCGGAGGGATGGTCCCTTCCTTTCAGATAAATTATCAAATACAATGTGCTTCTATCTCCGGAGGACAAACTGTAATAATATCAAATCTGCAGAGAAAAGTGCCATTAATTTGAGGAAAGCCTGTTTACTGTGGGAGAAAAAAGAGACAAATGTTGGACAAAAAACATAAAACAGGAGAGGTTATAAAGAATGAAAAACTGAGCGATCAACAAAATGAAAGCTGACACACATCATTAATCACAGCATGTGATACAACAGTGTTCAAATCTATTTTTTCATTATTACAAGGCTGTGTTAAATACTTGATTCTGATTGGTGAATTAAGTTGAGCACCATTCTGCTATTCCTCGATAGCCGACCTTTGTGATGTAATGTGATCTGATTTTTTTCTCTCACCAATATCAACAATGATTAGAGAGAATTAAATGTTTAATCATTTATCTGATCATCCAAAGGGATCAGGCTGATTGTGATGCATGTAGATGAGTGTGATGTAACCGCAGCAGGAGACTCTTGTCACATACACTGTACTCGTCTGTGCATTGGAGGCTCTTATTCTCCGTGCTGAGTGCATCTTAATGTTGCAGAGCAGCCGGCTGTCTGTCAGGGGAGAACAGTCGGGAGCTGTTAGAGCAGGAACAGAGAGTGTGCCTGTGATGCAGAAACATGGATTATAGATCAACACGTCCCCTCCCCGGCTCCCCGTTACATGATCAGTGTGACAGTGCGAGAGGAAGACTTCCTGTCCTGCTCCCTCTCTCACTAACATGTGAAAACTTGATAAAGTGAGCTTCATCATCCAGTAAGATCTAAGAAAAGAAAGTGTGTATTTTCATGTGACATTAGGTGTACTGAATAAAAATCCCAGGAGAGTTCTTCAGTATTTGGATGAAACACGAGGTATTCTTTTTCATCTTTGAGAGAAATGATGATGACTGTGTTTTCTCTGTGTTTCTTGCAGAGACAAGCATCTGGAGCTACGACTGGAAGCAGCAAGCCGTCTGCTGGCCAAGGTATCATTTTCTAACCATTATGTTCAGTGGAAAATTTAAACCAAGCTGGAAATATGATGCAGGACATTATTGATCTGCTTGTGTGCTGCATACAGCACTCCAGATTATACGGCAATAGGTCGAATGTTCACAGCTCAGATGATATTCAGGAAAACAGGAATTCAATCAAATATATTAAAAACTTGAAAGTGAATTGAAATTGCTTTATGAACAGTCATTTGTAGTATTAAGAAATCACTGAACGAATAAAGAGACTTTAATTCTGCAGTTCTGCAGATCGCAATCAGGTGAGGGAAAATGAAGAAGAGTTGAACCATTGACCGTTCAAAAAGATGGAAGTCCGAAGTGAAGTCAAAATATTTAATATTTATATTTAAAGGAAGAATGCGCGATATTTTACATATAAAATAGAGCAGAAATCAAGCATATCCTCTGTAAGAGTCTCTCCGAGTCACGACTGAGTGAGAAGCTCGAGTCTCGCCGGAGCCGTGTTTACATGGACGAGACGGCCTTGAGTATAACGCTGTTTTTAGTCGAGGACTAGATAGAAAAAGAACAACATACTCACTGATTATTTGGATGTCATGTAAGTGTCTTTAGATCACGGTCATTCTGTGTCAATTTATGTTCAACATGAAGCTACGAGTTAACCAAAATCTGCTAACATTAGCATGCTAACACAACAATGCAGGACACAGGTGATTGCAGCTCGAGCAAAAGGCAATGAGTGCTTAATTATGGTGCGTTCTAATTCATAACTCCTTCATGCAAACATGAGTAGAGAGGGGTTGGAAGTGTGCCGCTGGAGGAGAGCGGAGGCTTCTGAATAGTGGAGGTGCTGCCAAACAATAGTTTGTTTTGGTTTCATAATTATATTTTTCATTTTGTTAAACGTTGTTTCACAATAACTCTGAATTACTCAATAATCCCAAAGATATCTTAACATCAAGTATAACTGTTTTTTCAAAACAAGATGAGAGAATCCATATCCTCTTTTATATTAGCAACAACTCTGCCTGGTGAATATGGCATTAGCCAGTTTCCTCTGCTTTATCATCAGTTTCAAAGAAGGCCGACATTGCAAACTGGGCCACGGTATTGTTGGCATAATGCTGTAATTTTAATCCCTTGAGTTATGAACAGTAAAATTTGGCTTGCAGTACTTGGCAGAACCCTTTGAAATTCATAAATGGTGATAAGTGCAGAACTGTCATCCTGGCAAAATGAGTATATGCAAGAACAAAAGCCTGTTTCAAATGAACCCCCAGTAGAGAGCAGCTCAGGGGAGGCAGGTGTGAATTAGTCTGACACCTGCAGAATTAACAGATGCTTCCTAAGCTTTGAACAAAAAAAAGACATTTTATCACAGCTTACATTTAGCAGCATACTGTAACAGGAATTCCTTTTTTCAACCTTTAACTGTAAAAGGTGAAGATGACAAAAGTGAAGAAAAACGAAAGACTATAGTTTATAGTCGAAGCCGGGGTGATGTCACCCAATGGTTACTCCAAGGGGCTTTGGATGAGGTATATAAAAAATTCCCCCTACAGTGTGTACTGATGAAGATAGCAACTAATCAGGCAGAAATCTTTATTTGCCCAGGCTGTAAACATGTTAATTTATGTTGTAAAAAAGTGGCATTTTGAATGGGTGTGTATGTGGCTTCAGGGTCTTCCCAGCCAGCCTCAAGTGGACACTTGAGGAACTGCAGTTTTTAGACTTCCACATTGGTTCGTTTTTCAACACCAGAGGTTGCCGCTTGAGCAAAACATTTGGAGCTGCCAAATTATATATACATATGTTAACATATGGGGCACACTAAAAGCCAAATATGTCAAAAACATTCATCTCAAACATGGTTTCTATCTTTATAGTTCGTTTCTATCATGCTAATTTGTCTGTGTTCCATTTTCTGAAAAAGGTCAGTTTTAGTTATTTATTTGAGGCTTTAAAAAGAGTTCTAACGACATGACTGACAGCTCCGTTGACAAATGAGGCTCCAGCAGCTCTGCGTGCAGATTAGCAGAGTAGAGGAGAAACGGGGAGAGGAAATGTAACAAACACTTACGCGAGAGTCTTTGAGTTTTCCATAACTTTGAGTGTCTTCATGAAACTGACACACAAGTTCTTCTGCTGTGAACCGTACTGACCTGATGGATCTTTGACATCTTATCAGTAAGTTCAATATGTTTGGTTAGCAGAAGGGGCGGGATGTGGCTATCACAATTTCCCAATATGCTGGGGTATGTTGTGTAGGTATTGTGGCTTCACTTTTTTTTTTCAAAGGAAAGAGGTAGATGCATGTTGTCCATCTTTATACAGGCAATAGTTTCAACCATGCACGCAAATGCTGTACCACATTTACATTTAGAAAATTAGGTTTCATAGACGATCATTTATGCTATAAGGAATCACCGGATATAATCTCCTCTACTCCTCAGAGTTCTCCTCACACATTGGGCACTGCAGGTTAATAACAGCACATTCTCTGTATAATGACTCGATGGCCTTATTCAGCAGCCCTCTGTACCTGGAGACCTCGTGTCACCTCTCTTGTTTCTCTGTGGCTGCTGATAACTCTGTTAGAACTGTGTTGAAATGGATTTCTGTCCTCACCTCTGGGATGATGGAGTGTGTCCCGGCTCAGGCTCGGTCAGGAGGGACACATCCTGGCACTGATCAGGAGGGATTTAAGGCAGCATAATTGAATTTGGTTCAGGTGTGAATTGCATTCATACGACATTATCACACGTTCTCACTTTTTACCTCTCTCTATTTTATGCCCCCTTATTGTTTCAGATTTGCTAGAGCTGAACTATGCTCCCTATAAAATGTCCAAATCAAATCAGAGACTAGATATAAGACGTAGATGTAGCCGCTGAGACGTCACCTACCGCTTTAAAAACTAGATTTGAAGACTCAAGTTTTGGGTTTTTCGCTGCTGATTATTTGGTTTTATCAAATAGTGATCATATTCAGACAGAGGGGAAGGACGTGAATCTTTGCGCTTGTAGAGCCTAACGTCATCTTGATTTTCTGTCTATTTACTTGAAATAGGTCCCATATTAAAAAAACAAATAATAGGTCTAAGAAAGATGAAAATTTGCAATTCAGACCATAGTTCATGTGAAACTTGAGGTCTTTTTTGGGTTAAAGGTCGACACAATTGGACATGTTTTGCAATCAGTGGAGTCGCCCCCTGCTGGCAATCGTAAAGAATGCATGTTTGATTTTTGAATTTCCCTTCTCTGTTTGCTTCACCTGTTTAACCACAAGGATATGTCCACTTCTTATATAACCAGATTGATTTATAATAAGCAAAATATCATTCCATTTTAAAAACACAATAAAATAAATCTTGAATATGAGAGGGGAAAGGAACACAAACAGCCAGAGGTGCAGGGGCGGAGCCCGGGGTGGAACCCTTACATCCTTAACTTTGATTGGCTTATGTTGAAATCAACTATTGATGGTATTGGTGCTTTCAAGTGGTGTCGGACACATCGGAAAAAGAAGTTTCCGAGTTGAAAAATGAACGCCTGCTGAAGTTGGAACAACAACCTGAATCGGAAAACTTGAAAAAAATATTGGGTTCCCAACTTGATGACTGAAATCACGTGTTGTCCGAACACACTGAAGTCCAAAGAACAACTTCCCAACTCGAAAACTGGGACCATCGAGGAACATTTCAACATAGCATAGTAACATCAGGCTGCTGGGCTTCCTTTACATTTTAATGAAACACATGACATTATGTTAGTAATTTAAATTGTGGCTCCGGACGTACATCATCCTTTAGGAAAATTAAGCCAAGATGTTTTAAATGTTGACACTGTTGAGTCACTTTTTTAAGTTAAAAAATATATTTTAATGCCGTTCATTAGGGTGTGTGTGTGTGTGTGTGTGAGAGAGAGAGAATGTGCGTGTGTGTGTGTGTGTGTGTGTGTGTGCGCGCGTGTGCGTGTGTGTGTGTGTTCACTTACACTTACAGCCGAGCCTGCAGAAGTCAGTGGTGCAGTTCAGCCACTTCTTCTGCCACTGCAGAGGTGATAAAAAAAGAAAGGACAATGCTGCTACAGCGACTGTTTCAGGTTTTAAAGAAAATCTCTGCAGGGATACTTCCTTTAATGTTTTCAGACACTTTGGTTAATCTGATGTTTTAAGTGGAAAAAGGAGCACTCTGAGTGGATGTAATTTGAAACTACTTTGCAGCATTTGCAAATATTTTTTGGTGGCCAGTGGACAAAATCAACCACAGACATTACAAAACGTTTTGTACCTTAAAGTAATTTAGACTCAAAATATGTAAAAAGACATTCTGGTTTATGTTTGTGGTACGAGGAGTATTGTATACTGGTGCTTCAGCAGGCTTTGGCTGCATGGAGGAAAACAGCTCAGTGCAGAGCAAAGAGGTGGAATACAATGCCAGCTCCCATTGGTGGAGATCTATTGTCAATTAACTTTAAATTAATCAGTAACAGACCATCTCTATCTCCATAAACTATCGTCTCTTAGAAGTCGTTGCTCAACTCCAACTTCATTTTTGCTTTTTATGTTGTAAGGAAAGGCAACACATAAAAATAGAAAGTCTTGGTCAGAAGCTTTTTTGCTTATCGTTGGCAACACTGCAAACCCTCAGAGGCTGTGTATCACAGCCAGACGAAACGATGGTTTCCAAGATTGCCTGCCATCTTGTTCTCAAACTAACAAGGACTGCATGTCCTTATGAAAATCAAAACATACCTTCTTCCTATAGACGCAGCCCGTCACAGGTCAAAGGAATAGATGTTTGCGCTGGATGGTTTTGAGTCTAACTTGTGTTTCAGTTTCACAGTCACTGCTGGTCTCCTCAGGTCACCTCAGCTGCTCGGTATTCTTCAGACCGAGCCTTCATCAATCATCGTATGCACACTCTGAGGTTCTTTAAATCTCACAGGAACCAATTTGAACATGACCTTTCACAAACCTCTTATGGAAATATTCCCATCATCCATTGTGGCCGCGCGGTTTTTTTTTTTTCAAGCAGTGGCAGAACTAAAAGCTGAAGCTGTGCTGTTCTGCTCATAAGGTCTGGCGTCCTCTGTGGTGTAAAGGGCACGGACCCTGTGGAGAGAGAGAGAGGAGGAAGCTGCTGTGTGTGAGTGTGTGTTTGTGTGCGTGTGTGCGAGTGTCTAGAAAAACAGGGAGGTTTGTTTGGCTTCTGCAATCATAAAATATGAATTTGTTTCAATGTGTCATTGAAGGGCTCCAAGGTCAACAAAAGGTCCCATCCAAACGTGAGTAGGACCCTCATTAATACTGGAGCACAAACATCTCACAGCAGGTCAGCACTTTCATGCACGGAGCACCAGACTGCATGATAAATATGTTGCTTTAATAAACAACCCCACAGTGTCACCTCCATAACACTGAGACTTTAATCACACCTCACTCTGCTGTTTGTGTGCTTAAACAGTCGGCACTACCTTCACTTCAGTCTTCCTGCTACACTGGCTGTTTGCTCACTTCTACACCCAGAATGTGTTTTTAATGTCCAGAGCAAATCGAACGTTCAAATGAGCTGTTTCTCTGTTTTCACAATGAGGTTCATTCTGTTCACACAGGTGGGATTACAGGGGGAGGAGATGGAGAAATCATTATTATAAAGGATTTTTGATTCGTTCATTATACATTTGAATAGATGAAAGTGAAGGCATCAGTGGGTTATTAAGAGTTTATCTTCAGTCATAAAAGACATCCTCATTAACTCTGTTTGTCTGGAGCGTTCTTTTATTGGATGTCAAACATTTACGTCTCACAGGAAAAAGGTCACTCACACCGCAACCAAGAACAAACCCATATTAAGTTTTTATTTCTGTGCTCATGATTCCATTGTTTTACCAAGCTAGTTAAATCTTTAAAAGCGACCCCTCCCAGGGTTTACACTCTCACCGAGGGCACATTCACTTTTAGTGGTTAATAATCGTCTACACATAGAAGTGTCTTTATCGGCATCCTGAAGATGATAAAAGGTTAAGATAGAAATATGAATGTTAAAGCATATACTGTATATAAATATTTAAATATTTCGGTATAGTTAACACTATTTCCATCTGTGTTTGTGTAACTTTGTCCAAACATTTCTTAACTTGACACTTCAGTTTACGTAAATATGTGCTGCAGTAATTCACCCTCCAGGCCACTTGGGGATATAAGTGGACCTTACTATCCACTGCGTCTTGACACTTCCATGCCCTGAAGAAGATCTTGTGTGGAAGCAGTCTGCATGTTTTTCCTGAATGTTTGTCTTTTACCATAAAAAATCATTTAAAATGAATCCTTGGCTTTGAGTAAGAGTACCTGATGATAGCCCCGTGGCTCCCCCTCACCTTAGATAAAAAAAAGTCTTACCTGTTTACTTTGTGTGTGAACTGAAAAAGAAAATCTGATGTTTTTACATAGACTCGGCAGTGACACAATTAAAATGAGGTGTGGGGAGGCTCAAATGTGACTTTTTACCATTTTAAGGAGGCCAAAAGTGAGCGCTCCATAGACCAACAAAATACTGGTCTGAGGTCTATAGTCTGTGGCGCAGTTTGTTCTTGCTATTCAGGAGGCGCATTAGTAAAATAAGTTGGGCATACAAAGGTAACAGATGCAGGAGAATTCATACTCACACCTATTTGTTATAATACTCAAACATGACGGTGAGTGCCCAGAGATATTACTATGGAGCGTCCAGTATCCATTACACACAGTAGAGAATAAAGCAGATAAACAGTCAGTAAATCTTCACAGCCTGTTTCTGATCTCAAGCACTTTGAACATTATTTAACATAATGTGATCAACTCCATTCCTGTCGGCTTGTCTGGGCATTTTAATAATAAATGAGGCGACGCCTGTGAGTGAGTTCAGACAGAAAAACTCAAGCTGCACAGATTTCACACTGACAAGAGTCATTCTAACAATCTCCTATAAAACACATCTTTCCAATTTGCCGGTCTTATTTAAGCTGACCCTCCTGCTGCTCTATATCGTTGGTTTGCCGTCTCTTACCAGCCAGCATCCACCTGCAGGCTCCGACTGGGGTTAGGATGTAATGTCCTCACTCCTCAGTTTCTGCATGTCATATAAATCTGTGAGGAGTGATGAGGTTGGAGCCTAGATGACAAACTCAAACTGTTTTCATCGGGCCTACAGCTGCTTCAATAAATATTTCAAAAAGTGCAAACGTGAGTCGTCTGACTGAAATGAGGTTATGCTCTCGAGTCTACGCGTCTGAGTGTACACAGTGCAGAAGTTCTGAGTTGTCTCAAGCCAGCCAAAAATATCTGCCATGTAAACCTGCTTTTTTAAGGGAATGAAAGCTGACACTGATTGGTTTAAGTAATTCAAACTCAGTTAAATTGCACTAAATGTGCTTTAGATCTTGTGCTTTAGATTGTTTAAGTGTCTCGATGTGTGCCAACTACTGTAAGGCCATTGCAGCCACTTATCAGCAGGTACTATTTGTGTTCTGTCCTCAGCTCATTCACTTCTTCCACGTCTTCTTCCCCGAGAATCTGAGCTATACTGCAATACAAGAAGATTCTCCTATTGAGGGGAACTTACGGCTTGATATTAGTGACACGTTTGAGTTGTTTCCCTGGATATTTACTTGCTTGAATTTGGGCCTACGGCTTCTCCTAAATTATTCTCTCCACCTTTAATACATTAAGACAAAGATAATAATCAATGCAATTTTAGGCCTTTATAAATAACTGCACTGCCTTGAGCTAAACGCTGCTATCACAATGCTAACGTGCAGAATCTCTAGCAGCTTATGTTCACCCTGTTCACCAGCATGCTAACATTATCACTAAAAATATTGTACAGCAGTGGGATGAAACCATTAGATCGTCAGCAATAGAGGAAGAAGTTGAAACAATGAACAGCATTAAAGAAAGTTTCATAAATCTTACTCCTGGAGATCTGTAAAGTCACTGAGACTCATGAATCCGGCTTTCTCTTCATCCCTTCCCTCTCTGCTCTCCTCAGATGAGAAGAAGAACAACCTCCCGCAGGACTTTGACATCGACATGAAGGACCCGGAGACCGAGAAGGCCGCCGTGGCCATCCAGTCTCAGTTCAGGAAATTCCAGAAAAAGAAGCAGGATGTGAAGTCGTAGAGCGGACGGCGTTCAGCCGTGTCCTCACTCGATGTGGGCCGAGTCTTGCATGTCAATCAAACTGCACCGTCATGAACTGAGAAAGAGGGTGGGGGTGAGGGTCTTGAAGGCGGAGGTGAGGGGAGGGGAAAGGGGAGGCCTGAGGGTAAAAAGTATCTCTGTGAAAGTTTGTGTGAAATTACTTACTTATAACGACTAATATATAAAAAAATAATCAAGTTCTGAATGTGTGTATTTCAATCTTTCCTTTCATTTTGCTCTTCTTTGACTTTGACTTCGATGACACTTCATAGTTTAGCAGCTTAACATTTCGTACAAAACTTTCAGTGTAAGATACTCATGATGACAGGAAAATAAAAAAACATCTCATTAAACGTTGAACAGCGTTGACTTAAATTCAGGAGGAATATAAAGCCACATGCATCTCTGTAATTGATTTCATCAACTCTGCAGAGCGTCGTTATCTGAACATGTTTCTGCTCGTCCGGACGTCTGTTAAAAGCGCGCGCCCTCTGGCTGTGTAAAAATGATCCCACGCAGTCAGCAGTGCTTTCATGCTGAACGACTGTTGCTTTTAAAAATCAAATCAATGTCTAATTTGTAACTGGAAGTCAGAGGTCTCCCCTCCATCTTGTCTTATTTTCCATCTGAAGACGTGAACCTCTCTGAGCTGTGTGTCTTTGTTTCGGTTGTAGATGTCGTGTTTGTGATTTGGTTCAGATCGTGTTTTTTCTCTCCTTGTTTTTTCTGTTGTGCAAAATCCATTGTGGTTTAAACAATGTCATTGTTCTGTTGGCTCACACATGTATCCTGTACAAGCACATTCAAATATGCATGCAAGCTTGCAGAGATGGACACACACATACACACACACACATGCATTTACATACAAAGAGAGAAATAAATAAAGACATTGAAACGGAGTACAAGTTGTTCCTCTGCAATGAGTCCCTTTGTCTTCTTGACTGTGCATGTTATCTACAAAATATGATGATTCGTTACAACGTGAATGTTGAATGAACCGATATGACCTCGTAATAAACTCATCCACTCCCCGCACTACATCACCATATTCTCAAGTCACTGCAGCAACAAGATCCTAATGAACTGATCTATTTTTCTTTTTAGCAACCTGCATATATATTGCACATTACTTGACGTTGATTGATGCAAGAGACAGAAAATTTGATTAAAATCTGTGCAGGAAATGCATTAGATCCCTCATACCCATAAAACTTGTACCTACTCGTGTGTCATATCAGATATACGTGTAAGGTCTTATCCGTCACTCCTTAATGTATGGTTCAATTAAGGATACTACAACAACATGGAAACAAGGATAAGGTCATTGCATAGACTGTATATTAAAAGCAGGAAGAGTTATTTTATACTTTTCTTTAACCTTTTGAAGCCCCAAGTTTGGCCAATTTAGGACTTTGCAATTTTGCTGTTTGGAGCCAGAAGTGACCATATTTATAGAAGGAGTGAATACACACAGCTACGCCTGTGACAAGTCGCCATGGTAACGACTAATCAATTACAGATTCCCACAAACTAGCCATTCCCTGCTGTATCGTCTGTATGACTCTACATGGGATTATTTACTAAATGAGCATCTTGAAGAAGACTTGAAACCTGAGATTTGGATCATTAAATCATTAGTAAAAAACAACAACAAGGAAGTAGAAGGCTCATTTTCTGATGGACTTATGTTTAAAACCTGAGATCATATGACATACATATGTAGTCTCAGTGACGTCACCCATTGGTTATTGAAACAGACTTTTAAAGGCCATTGATGGCGATCGCCATTCTGAAAATATGTCAACCAAATATCATTCAACCCAACAGCAAGCAGAGAGGTGGCAGTCTAAGCCTATAGCAGCATAACTAGGAGCTGGTACATACCGATGCCAGCTCTAACTATAAGCTTTTCAAAAAGGTAAGTTTCAAGTCTTCTCTCAGAAGTACAGAGGGTGTCTGCCTCACTGACCCTGACTGGTATTTTAAAGGAGAGGGGGCTGATAACTGAAGGCTCTACCTCCCATAGTACATTTACAGACTGCATAGGTACCAGGAGCAGGACTGATAACTGAAGGCTCTACCTCCCAAGTTCTAGAGGGATAATACTGAACTATTAGCTCTTTAAGATAAGATGGTGCCTGGACATTTAGAGCTTTGAAAATGAGAAGAAGGATTACTTTATTCTAGATGTTATATGGAGCCAGTGCAGAGAAGCCAATACAGGAGTGATGTGGTCCATTTTCATAGTTCTAGTCAGTACACGAGCTGCAGCATCTGGACTATAGGTTATAATACTTTTGAATGCCTGAAGCCACTGCTACAGAGTATGAGCCAGACATTGAAAAAAAACAGCACACTACCGAAACAGCCTGTGTTTATATTTTCCTCAGCAAAGATTCCCAGTGAGTGATATGTTTGACTGCAACGAGCTTGTAATAGTTTGCTCTAAATCTGACCGTATTTGTAAAATCATATAGTTTTAAAAATTGTTTGCAACTTGGGGCGCTAGCTTAGCTCAGTCAGTTGAACAGACATATACAGAGATGCATCAGCTTCTGGTTTGACTACAAGCCCCGCCCCTTGATCTACTGTATGTCTATCCCACTCTCTCCTAATCACATTTTCTGTCTCTCTTCAGCTGCCTTATCAATAAAGGCAAATATTCATCTTTAAAAATAATAATTTTGCAATTTGTAAATAGTTGCAGACTTGAAAACTGCCACTTCTTACCTTCTGTCTGCAGCTCATAAGTCTTGCCAGCTTCATTATATTCATGGTCTTATATCACAGGACGGGGGTGGAGGGTGGGGGGATAGTGGGAGGCCCTATTACTCAGCATGGCATCTATATCTGCCTTCCACGTCTGAAGTCCACAACAAATTAAGATTTACTTTCTGCCACACTCAGCTGCTGTCATAAACAAGATTCAGGCGAGGGGAATTCTTCCCTCTGATCAGACGGAGAAATATGAAGGTGTCGCCGGCAGCGCTGGGGAAATTATTCTGAAAACGTAAAGTAATAAACACGTCTCAGCGCAGGACTGAAGTAATGAGTGCTGTACCTTTCGGAACAGTTTGAAGCTGACAGCTGGCATTGTTTATGTTTCATTTGTTCTTTTCAGAGATATTTCTTTCTCCTCTGAAATTCATTTAAGGGTTAGGAGGCCTGCAGACATTTCTTCTGGATGTTTCTGAGAGGCCTCTGAGATTTCTCTGCAGAATGATGCTGTCCTCAGAAAAGACTGCTAGATTTGTTTGAAATAAAAAACTCTCACTATCTGAGGTCTGACGATAAGACTGAAGCTCCTGTGAGGAACTTTCAGTTTGTGTCCTTTTTGGTGAACCTGTGGACAAAACAGTACCTTTAATCACTTTTCTGATTATGTCCTGAACATGTGTGGGAAGTTTTTAACAGAAAATCCTCATCTTTTTAAAGGGTTGGTGCATTTAGTTATTAGTACACAAACTTTGTTAAAGTCCAAGACAATAATTGGATGGATTTAAACCACCTATAATGTTCAGATTCTTTGTGGTTACTGCTTGTCACCAGGGTTGGACTTCAAAATCCGGTTTACCAGTCATTTTCCTGATGGGCCAGCGCACATATAGGTCCCAATTTCTGCCTTTTGTTCTTGAAAATGAAACGCCATTTACGTAGAATCACGACTGTACAATTGAAGCTTCCAGACCGCCCCTCTCTTTGTCCTCTTCTCAGAGCGCAATAGTCTCAGGCTGAAGAAAAGTGTCAGCTGAGGAGATCATAAGGAGGCGCAACAAAGTTGGGAGTGCAGAGTATCTGTATCTGTATCTTCAACATGTCCTGCCACAGCTGTAACCGTCATGCAGTCACATATGATTTCTCTTATCTTTATAACTGTTTGTTGAATTTTACTGATGAAGGTGGTTACAGTTGAGACAGTTTTAACAACCAAAGCTGTCATAAGTAGCTGAAAGATGAACAATGAAATGTACTTCAAAATGAGGATAAATACCATCTTATAGCTTTTTTTTTGTTACTTCTTACTTTTTATGACTTGAGCATCTATTGTGTACTCAACAAAAAAAACTTTATTCCCCAAGAAGTCATTCAAGAGTGAAGAGCCCTGCTTGTAGCTCAAAATCTAACTTTAGCCTCAGGTCTGAGCCCAACTTCACCCACTGCATCATTTTTTAAAATGTTGGTGAACAGCTGAGTTTGGGACGGGGTAACTGGTTGAGTCTGTCAGCATTGTGTTTGCAGGATTCAGGTCTCTTTTTTAAGCAGCAGATGTTTTGTCTCAAGCCTTTTTTTTAACCCATGAAATATTGATGTTTGTCATTTTAGTACAAAATGTTAATATTACCTTATACCTTATTATAAGCAGAAGATGATCGGTTTCATCACAGCAGTATTAAATGCAGTACATCTTTTTTTCTGCTCTGTGGTTTCCCACGAGGACTTCCATTGTTTCCCAGAATGCCCTTCAACAGATCAGTCAGACAACTCATGTTTGAAATGTTTGTTGCAGCTGCAGAACATTTTTGGAGTTAAGCGTCAAGGCTCCAACCTCATCTCTCAGCCCAGATTGGAGGAATTTGAGATGAGATTGGCGATGTTTGGGCTGAAAGGATGAGCAAGGGATAGTAGTGGCATTAACAGGGTAAAGGTAGGGATGGGAAATATTGCAGGTTTAATAGGTTGCAACATTTGGAGGTGAGCTTGTCAGGAGTTATTGTGGAGAATAACATGTGATGCAAACTTTGAATAAGCTTGCAGACGTCGCTGCATGTAATGTTTTAACAACAGTGACCATGCGTTGTATGTTTGAGAGGATATATTGTGATATAGCGACGCTAAAGCTACCAACTAATAGATCTGGAACATGTTTGTGTCTCAGTTCCTTTAGTAAATCCTACAGCAACAAAATTATATAGTAACCCTTTATGGATAAAAAAACAGTCTATACATGTCGACCCTGTCTTCTAGATATATATTACACTGTGCATACTCTATGTTTACTTTCAGTTAAAATGCAAAAATGATCGTTTGATCCTCAGGGAATGATGAGATATTGGGGTCATAAATACAAGGGCAAACTAAGATTTACACATTTTCTGCTCATTCAACTCAACAAATTGATCGTAATCTTCTGAAAAAAAGATTTTATTCAGCTGATGTACTGCTATATTTCTTTTTCATCTGTTGGAAGCTCCTCCTCCTTCGATGTTTGCACTACTCGTTATCGTTTGGTTTAGTCTGACTCGTAACAGAGTTATGATTCATACGTTCTTTTGTTACTTTTCCTGATCAAAAACTACAAATTTAATTCTGTTATTTGGTGTTTATATTTCAGACACATGTTCAGTTTACAGCAACACCCAATATAACACGGTTTGTCCTTGTCCATGCATTCTGGTCTTCTGAGGCTTTGTTTGCTGGATACATGAGTCTTCAGGTTCTGTATTGATTATGTTCCCAGTGATGCATGAACTACCTTATGTTTAATATTTCAAAAAGATTTTCCTTCCTATGATTTTAAAGTTGTTATTTTTTACACTTTTCCACCACAGCCGTGCAGAAATCGCTTAAGATGACATCATGACTAAAATGTGTTAAGTTATTTCATTATTTTCATTATATCTTCATCTTTTCTGAGAGGGGGAGATCTTATCCCAGCATGCACTTTGATGATGAAGTAGTGGTGGGATGAAAAACTGGACACCACTAAACAATTGCTCAGAAACACCTGCTGCCTCCTCAGAATGTGTTTTTAAGTTATAATGGGCTTTTTTTTAAAAAGTGAAAATTGCCTGCATCTGTTACAGAGAAGTAGAGCTGCAAAGATTAATGTAAGAGAATGTGTCCAGAGGGCATCCTAACTCTGTACAACACTGCCACCTGCAGGCAAAGAAGCATCACAATCACAGAAAAATCTCATGGATGA